AAAGATGGACTGTGGACAGATGTTCCCCCAGTTCCAGGCTCTCTCATCATTAACACAGGAGACATGGTAGAGATTTGGACAAATGGGGCTTTTAAGGCCCCTCCCCACAGGGTCAAACTGTCAGCAACTAATCATAGGCTTTCAGTTGCAATGTTTTATGAGCCAGGGTTTGAGAGTGTTATCTCACCCATTCCTGTTGACAAAGCTCTAATTCCTTTAGAAAAATCTATGGCAAAGCCCTCTTTGGCGTTTCCAATACGCTATGGTGATTACGTTCTGAGTAAATATTGCAGCATCCTACCAGAGAATAAGCCATAACATAAAATATGTAACACATGTAAAGATACAGTTCTAGATAATTTGTTGCTTTTTATAAGAATAACTCGTGATTTATGAAGTGAATTATAGGATTATTAATGCACTCTGTTGCCAAGTATTGTAGCTACCCCAAAAAAAAAAAAAATAGAAAAAAAAATAGAAAAAATATTTAAGCTGCATTCATTTGTAACTGTTGATAACAGCTTGCACAGCCATTACCAAATTCAAATTTTGTTGGATTTTCCCCCTCTTGGATGAAAGATAGGCCATGACAGATTTCCCTAATCTGCTCCCATCTAGTATACTCTGCAATTTAGTGTGCTTAGTGAGAGAAAAATCAATAAACCTTTGCAGAAATAAAACAAAAATATGAAGAAAAGACTCATGCCACCTTACACACAGGCAAATGTTAAATCTATAACCTGCCAGGTGGATTTTAAGGCAATTGAAAATTTCCATGCAAAATTAACAACAAGGGTTAGAAAGCAGTTTATTTTCCCTTTGGCAGGCATAATTTTTGCTAGCAAGTGCTCAGTTTTTTCTTGGTTGAAAATTATAGCTGCATGGTGTGGGACAATAAAAGTTACTTTTCCATTTCCCCACCCCATCATTCATTCTTACTTTAACTCAATTACATTGCCAGTGAAATGAACAAATGCAAGGTTGCAACATTAACTTATCTTGACATCTGCATTGAAGGGTTAGTCAAGACCAAAAAAATAAATGTTTCCCTTTCCCAGCCTTTTGTATGGTGTAGAGTATTCATAGGTCAGGTGATTCCTCTCATTGCCCTTATTCAACTGTCTTTTATTCAGTGATCAAGATAGTATATTTACCATAGGATACTGACAATTAGTTATTTGCAGTGCTTTCAGTAAGATTTGAAGTAGGTGGCTACCTCGGTAAAGCACTCCCCGGAGGATAATATGAAAAACAATTTCGATCTCATTAGTCCATTAGTTCCATTAGAGTAAAATTGCTTCAAACAGAGTTTTCTGCGGCGAACTTTGGTAAATGATCGTTAAATACTGGTCTCCTTTGTAACAACTGTTTAACTGATTGTTTATTTCTAATCAAAATCTTCCATTTGCTGACTTGCAAACCTGCTGCCCGAGTTTCACACAAAAAGTCCTCTAAAAGGACGTGATTACTGGTTACTGAAATTTTAGTCAGTATGTTCTTGCAAGCTTAAAATCTTATTTTTCCAGGAAATTTGGTTTACAGTATAACAAGACAGTACCAGTACCACGTCTCGTTCCACACGTGAAGGAGTTACTATATCCATTCCAACATGGTTTTCAGAAGGGAAGGTCTCGTGTCGCACAACTCTTAGAAGCTTTTTATGATATCAGTGGCGCACTGGACCGTGGAATTGAAACTGATATTATCTATCTTGACTTTGCCAAGGCTTTTGACTCTGTATGTCCCGCTAAGCTGGTATCCAAGTTATCAACCTTTGGAAAAAGACCCTTTACTAACTTGGTTTCACTCATATCTAACTGGGAGGAGTCAGAGAGTGGTGATAAATGGAACGTCTTCTAGATGGACCGCTGTAAATGATATTAATGTGGAGTTGACACAGCCAAAAAAGATCTAGGTATTATGATTGCAAATGACACCTCTTGGAAAGATCACTTTGTCATGATTGTAGCTAAAGCTGATAGGATGCTTGATTTTCTCAAAAGGAACTGCGCTGGTATTGTTGGTAGTACGGTGCTTTTGCGTCTTTACTGCTCTTTAGTGCGCTCTCATTTTTGTTTTTGCTCTCAGTTATGGGCCCCTCAGTCAAGTACCAGCAATTTAATCCTATTTGAAAACATACGAAGGAGAGCTACTCGTTTTATCTTAAGGAATAGTAACCTATGTTATAAGGCTCATTTAATCAAGCTTAAGTTACTACCACTAAGTTACTGGTTAGAATATGTTGACTTGGTTTTCTTTTTTAAGTGCCTTCATGGGCTTATAGATTTCACTCATGAATTTAGTAATTATTTTTCTTTTCTAAAGGGTAACACGCGCTGTGCTTCATCAGGGCTGCATTTAAAGTTAAATGCCTTTCGTACGTCTTCCTTTCGAGACTTTTACTTCAACAGAATAACTTTGATGTGGAACAGTTTACCTAAAAATATCAAGGATTCAGACACTATAAGCTCTTTTAAAAGTAAACTCAAGTCGTTTTATTTTACTAAACTTTTGAATGCTTTTGATAGAGACAATTTTCGTTCTTTTAAATTAATTTGTCCTAAGTGTCGCAGTGTAAATACTTCTTCTGTCAGTACTTGTTAAGTTAAGTTAAGTTGTCAATTTGTATACTTTAGAATGTTCGGTGTAATTTAGATTATTTGAATTGTAGTTTAGTCAGATCAGGGAAGGGATCTTTTTTCGGGATATTTCTTTCCGGGATATTTTTTACGGGGCTGGGTGTGGGTGTATTAACCAAGTAGGGGACTTATGTTCTATTGCTATGCACCTGTACTTGTACTTGTACTTGTACGAATCCATTAAATAAATAAAATAAATAAATAGACCTCTCAGTCTCTTGCTTCGAACGCTAAACGCACTTTTTGTGATTGCAAGTTTTTATTTTGTTTTTGTTTTTTGATGTGTTGCGTTTTGTTGGTTACTGAGTGAAATTAAAGATTTGCAGCAGTGACTTCTACCAGTTTTATTTTCTGGAAAAACCTAAGCATTTTTCATTTCTGCAAAATTGTTCATTTACTGTTTACAAAAGATAATTAAATTAAATCAATCAGCCAATGAATTTAGCTGTTTCCACGACTCGTGTTTCATGTGATCGTAAACAATCATCGTGTAGTCATCGTGTCTAAAACGTAGCTCTTTTGAACCTTCCTTACATCTAGAGAAATCGAGATCATAGAAATTGACGTCCAGCAAGATGAAAGGACTACAA